TTGCATCTATCTGCGAGCTGGGGTTGTTGTTGTTGTTGTTGCAAACTCGTTAGAATCAGTGGTTGGAGACGTTTGTTTAGGTTTGGGTTTAAAATGTTAGCAGATAGTGGTATGAGAATTGATATGGAGGAAGGAGGTAATAAAAGTATGTGTTTGTGGGAGAAACAAATTGCAAAGTGATCAGGGGAAAGAGAAGGGTCTCAAAATAACAATACACTTAGGGTATACCACACTAACAGTAGAAGTCTAAGAAACAAAATAAACGATTTAATGCTCTTGTCTGCACAAAAAAATTATTGCACTTACCGAAACGTGGATGAAAGTAGAAAATAGAGAACTATTAGCCGAATATCAAATAAATGGATTTAAACTATTTCACATAGATATATTAGACGAGGAGGGGGAGTAGCCATATATGTTAGGGAAAATTTTGAAATGTAATCTCAAAGAGGAAATCAAAACTGAGCCACACACAGAAACTATTTGGATAGAATTAAACGATAGAGCAAATAATCCTATAATAGGAGTTATATACAGGCCACCAAACGTAAACAGGATGGAAGCATAGCACCAATGAGATGAAATATCCCAGCATGTAGGTCTAGCAGTATTTGTGTCATGGGTGACTTTAATTTTAGTGGAATAAATTGGTTTAGCAGAACAGGGAATAATGAAGCAGAAGATTTTCTAGAATTAATTGACGATTGCTTTCTTCCGCAACACATTAAGGAACCAACGCGGGAAAATAATATTTTAGATTTAGTGTTAACTAACAGGGAAACACAAATTAATGATATCGAAATAGGGAGTGAGCTAGGGAACAGTGATCACAAAGATATCAGGTTAAGCATAGAATGGAAAAGATCTGTATGAGAAAATTCTGTTAAAAGTGCCAGCATTAAACTGCAACTGCCAATCCTTTGACCATTTCAAAACCCTATTTAGATCAACTTGAAGTGATAGTGAGTCTTCTTCCGTGTTATTTTCCCTGCCGATTTTTGTATCATCGGCAAATTTGCAAATGTTGCTACTCAAACCTGAATCTAAATCATTGATATATATTATAAACAACAGAGGTCCCAGGACAGAGCCCTGAGGCACTCCACTTACAACATTTTCCCACTCTGACTTAACCCTATTTATACTAACTCTCTGTTTCCTTTGGAATAGCCATGCCCTAATTCAACTTAATACAGCACCTCCAATACCATGAGCCTCTATTTTTGTAATCAGTCTTTCATGTGGCACTGTATCAGAGGCTTTGCTAAAGTCAAGGTACACAACATCACAATCCTTACCACTATCAACTGCCTCAACTATGCTGGAATAAAAATATAGCAAATTTGTTAAACATGAACGGCTCATGTTTGTTCTTATGTTCTCCACCTCTCCCAATCTTTCCCTATTTCCCTGTTAACATTTGCATTCAGTAAGGCTCGTGGACGTGACAGCAGCTTCTAAACGCCTTATTGGTCTGTTCCCTTAACTGGTAACAACAGGATAAATGAAACATTTATTCATCACCGGATCACTGATAAACTGGAGGTAATACTTAATCAGTGTATACCAAGAAGAAATGTCCCCACTCATAATACCAAACAAAACAATCTAATTACCATTTAAACAGCTGACACTACATCCAGTCTCTCCAAATCTAACAACCGCACTGATGGAGTCACTCCTGGTACCTCAAATGCCGTTTAACATTATGAAGAGATTCCTTGCTAAGGATTAACCAGCCTCTTGGAAGGAGGAACTTACTGAGGTATGTGTAGGGTTGACCTACAACCACATCCTCTAGGAACTAACCATCCGTCCCGTAACGGAGGATGATACACCAACGTACCACCACCACCACCCTCACCACCACCACCCTCACCACCACCACCCTCACCACCGCCACCATCACCACCAACACCACCATCACTACCACCACCACCACCACCCTCACCACCACCACCCTCACCACCACCACCCTCACCACCACCACCCTCACCACCATCACCACCATCACCACCACCACCACCACCACCACCATCACCACCAACACCACCATCACCACCACTACCACCACTACCGCCACCATCACCACCACCGCCATCATCACCACCAACACCACCATCACATAACCTACTTGCTACCTCACCTCCACGAACCTCCACCCCAGCTCCGCCTGAGCATCAAGACTACTACTCTGCCATACCGCTAAACCTCCTTCTGTTACATGACTCCCAAACTCAGGATGCTCCCCAACCTCCCCAACAAGTCTCCAGTCCCCGCCCAGTTCAGTATGCTCCTCACCCTACTCGACCACAAGCTCGCCAGTTCAGTATGCTCCCTTCCTTCCCAACAACAGGTTCCCCCCAGTACAGTATGCTCCCCAACAACTTGCTTCCCTAGTTCAGTATACTCCTTTCTCTCCCAACCCCATGCTTCCCCAGCTCAATACTAAGCACCTACAGTCCAATACCCTTCAAAGACATTATACTCAGCTCCCATTTCTGAGTACCATCCCGCCCCCCCCCCCCCCCCGCAATATCATACTTACCCACACCGTCCTCAGGTGGCACGTTCCAGGAACAGCGTTTTCTAGCTCCCTCCCTAGATTTGTCTTACCTAAAATGATTTGCAAGAAGCTATCAGCAAATAAAATAGAGAGAAATCGCCAGGTGGACGATTGGTTATGGCAGGTTAACTCAGCCTAATCGTCTGCCCCGGACGACTTGGTGAAAATTAGCATAGCCGCCGGGGCTTGTATAGACCCGAGCGGCGCGGTGATGAAGGTGGAAGACTTTAGACGGTTGCGAACGTCGTCTGACTTCGTCCAGGCAATCCAAAAGCGATACAATAAAAGATTTACACTGTTTTATAATGGGTAGGGTTAGTGACTTGCGACAAGAGTTGGGGTACGACACGGCAGAAGTAGAGTGCAAAACAAGACAAATGTTTTGCATCTCTCTCCAAGGTACCCTCGGAGCATTTGTGTCGGCTACAAGTGTAAGTATGGACTTTAACAACATAAAGTGCTGGAACTGTGGAGGTATGGGCCATGTCAGAGTAAAGTGTCCAAGCCACATAATCCCCGGAAGAGATAAGGCCCCCATAGAGGACGGCAGGCCTAATTTTGAGGTAAGGGTTAATGGGAAAAGGTTGGTTGTTTTTCTAGACACCGGAAGTCAGGCAACCTTAATTAAAGCAGAAGCGTTTCGAACCATCAGTCAGGTGCGCCTTAAGTTGTGCAATAAACGTCTTACTGCAGTCAATGGCCAAACGATTGAAATTGTGGGACAATGCACCTTGAATTTTGAGGTAGAGAAGGATAAAATACAACCCCATGGTTGTACAGGGGTAGACAATCTATCCTTTCCCGGAGATATACTTATGGGTATGGACATACCCATGGACGGGTATGGAGAAGAGTTACATATAGCTTGTCAGCAGTAAAGGGCGCAAGACATAGTAGGTTACAGTTGGGTACCGTATCTTATCCTGTAAAACTGACAGACCACCCGCCTGTTATTGCATCTATTCTTAGAAAGACCAAATATAATGCAAATCTCCCTAAGCTGAGAGGAGCGACCGGGAGGGGCCGGTCGGCCGAGCGGACAGCACGCTGGACTTGTGATCCTGTGGTCCCGGGTTCGATCCCGGGCGCCGGCGAAAAACAATTGGCAGAGTTTCTTTCACCCTATGCCCCTGTTACCTAGCAGTAAAATAGGTACCTGGGTGTTAGTCAGCTGTCACGGGCTGCTTCCTGGGGGTGGAGGCCTGGTCGAGGACCGGCCGTGGGGACACTAAAAAGCCCCGAAATAATCTCAAGATAACCTCAAGAAGCTATTGTTTGAGTCTCTTCAAGACCCAGACAAGAAAACTTGTTCACTCCATGTCATGCACAAGCAGACATGTTCACCGCGGTCATTTAAATACATTAAGGTGGCTGTGGGGAAGAATATTCAACCAGGAAGAATTCTTCAGGCGTCAGCAGGTTGGATAAATTGCTTATACATCACCATCTAACATTTGTTCATGAAAAAGGTGCACTTCTTCCAGTGATCAATCTTTCTCACAAAACCTATCACTTCAGAGTGGGTAACAAACTGTCTCAGGGTGTGATCATTGAAGAAGGGGAAATAATAAAATCTGATACACCTGAGACAGCGACTGTCGCAGCGCAGTGTAGCGCACTTAACATTAAGGAGATAGGTAAACCATTCCAGAGTGATACCGAGTCCCCATTAGTTCTCCCAGAAAAGGGTAATCTCGATAAGTTAATTACAGCCCCTGATTTACAGCACATATCACCAGCTGAGAGAAAACAAATACAAGAGGTACTGAGGAAGTTTCCAAAATTGTTTGCTACAACAGACGATGAGATAGGACTGTTACCTCAAATAGAACACACAATCCCAACAGGTGACCACCATCCTATTTACACGTGACAGTGGCAACTTACAGAGCAGGCAAAACAAATTATTAGGGACGAATATCAAAAGATGCTGAGGCAAAATGTGATAGAGCCAAGTACGTCACCTTGGTTGTCTCTGGTGGTACTTGTACGTAGACCGGACGGTAGCTATAGGTTGAGTGTGGATTATCGAAAAATAAATGAGATAACGACAGATGATGTATATCCCTTGCCGCTGATTCAAGAAATTCTTGATAATTTTCGCACAGCCAAGTACTTCTCCACTCTTGATGCGAAATCAGCTTATTAGGCTATACTTGTAGCAGAGAGGGACAGGGAGAAGACAGCGTTCACGGATGGCCTCCACACTTACCAATTCAAACGTATGCCTTTCGGCTTGAAAACAGCTCATTCGTCTTTTCAGAGAGCTATTAATTATATACTTAGTCCAGTTGTAGGTAAACACTCATTGGCCTACTTGGATGATGTAGTTGTTTACTCTAGGACCTTTGATGAGCAGTGATTTGACTGAGACATTGTCGTTGTTAAATAAGGCTGGGTTTAAGTTGAACGTTCAGTAGTGTACTCTGGCATCTCAGATATTTAAATTTCTGGGGTTCCAGGTAAGCACAGATGGGATACGCCCTGACCCATATTCCTGTAGGGCTATCGCTGACATGCAGACTCCACGAACAGCGAAGGATGTACGCAAATTTCTGGGCGCAGCGGGGTATTTCCGTCGCCATATGGAGGGTTTTGCGAGGACGTCAGCCTCATTGACGAACTTCACAAAAAAAAACCCACAAAATTTGTATGGACTAAAGAACATGACGAAGCATATGCGAGAATAAAGGCACAGTTGATAACGACACCAGGGTTAGCTGTTCTAGATTTTGAGAAGGAGTGGGAAGTGCATACTAATGCAAGTGGCATTGCCATACGTGGCTGCTTAATTCAGCGTGACTCAGAATCACCCACACTCCGTAGTGTATTTCAGTAGTAAGGTGAAGGAACCTGAGGTACGGTATTTAGCCACAGACAAGGAGGCACTAGCCGTAGTTGAGTGTGTTAGATTCTTTGAACACTACATGTTCCAACACCACTTCGTGATATATACTGATTATAGAGCTCTGACCCATATTTTTAAAAAGAAAACTAGGTGCCCTCGAATGTCACGATGGAGTCATGAGCTGTCAGCACATTCATTCCAAATAATTTACAAGCCTAGGCCGTCACATGTTGTCCCTGACGCCTTGAGTAGAAACATAGCACTTATTAATAAGAACATAAATATTGACACAATAACAAGTGATAGGATGAGAGAATTACAAATGAAGGAATCGAAGTGAAAAGAGATAATCAAACATTTAGAAGGAGGAAAATATCCAGCAAAGAAAAGTCGTGTGCTGATGGATGCATTCGAGCTTAGGGAAGGGGTATTATACTATGTAAAACACTACAAGGATAGGGTGCTTCTCCAACTAGTCATCCCTGATGCACTAATATCGTCAGCATTAGAATTTGCTCATGTGTCCAAAATCTCTGGTCACCCTGGGGTGTACTAGACGTATATGAGAGCAAAGTCTTTGTTCTGCTTCCCTGGCTTATTAACACAAGTAATTAAGTATGTAAAGTCTTGTTCCCCCTGTCAAAGACGATAAGGTGCCCCAAAGGTTCAGGCCCCACTCCAAGAGTTTCCTGAAATTTGTGAACCTCTTGATAGGGTAGGTGCTGACTTAATTGATTTGCACAGTAGTTACTCAGGCAATAGATATGAGCTGGTGTTAGTGGACCATTTGTCCAGGTATACCATCTTGGTAGCACTTGGTAAGGACCCTCAGACAGTAGCTGACGCCTTTTTAAGTAGATTTGTAACGGTGTTTGGATCTACGGTTTTAGCATCTGACAGGGGACAAGAGTTTATGGGAAAGATTTTTCAAGAAGTATGCCAGATCTTAGAAACCACCACCGCGCTCACCACCGCATACCACCCTCAGGTGAATGGCATGGTGGAACGAACCAACCGCACAATAAAAGACATGCTTGCTATTCTGGCAGAAAAATATCCTGCTACATGGGATGAACAGTTACCTTATGTACAATTTGCACTGAACACGGCGGTACATCAGTCGATTAATACACCGCGACTCGTACTGTTCACTGGTCATTCATGTAATTTTGCATCAGGCTTGCTTAACAGGAACAATGTTAACTTCAGTGAGGATTATCCTTCAGAAATTCTCATAAAAATGAAAAAAGCCTGGAGAGTAGCCGCTGAGGCGTCCAGTCAAGCACGTACGCGATATGCTCACTATTATGATAGGCTGGTGCGACCATTGGTACTAAAAGAGGGCAGTTTAGTAATGAGACAGAACGAAACGTCTCCCGCAAATCAGAGTAGAAAATTAACAACCAAATGGCGAGGCCCGTATAGAATTATTAGAAAATTAGGCCCAGTCAATTTTGTAATTAAGGGCATCTTTGATGACCAGACTGAAAAACTATTCATATTAACAAACTCAAGTCATACATTGCCATGGAGGAACTGGAATTACCTTCAGTAATCCTTACTCAATTCTGGTTCTGATCTTGATGAGGAGGATGACTCTCTGTTAACCCTCATTAGCAGGCAGGTTGAACCTTGTCACCCTATGATGAAAAGGTCACGTGCAAACCTGGCAGGTTTTAATTAACTTATTGTCTGGTCCAATCAGTCATTTTAGAACTAGTTTCAAATTTTAGAATGCAATATATAGAAATGCTTGTGTGTTTGGACTTTGGGAGAAGTACCTAACCACCCTGAGATTGGGAGCTGTGCATTCCCAACCCCAGGGCGAGATCCATGCTTCCACTAGTCACATAGTCATGTCTTTCAACCATCATGCCTAACTGTACCCAGCCACCTTGTCCCGCAGAGCCAGCCACACCTTGAATAACTAAGATCAGTGGAACGGTAATTATGCCGTTCCTTCAGGCAGGGATGCCAGATTGTCTGGACTCCAGAGAGAGGAAGGGATATGCTACAACCCCCTCCCTCCTCTCTCTCAGCCCAGTGGACCTTACTCTTGCGATCCTGGGGAAGGTGATGTCATAAGTCACCTGACTGATGCCTCACCCATATGAGGTGTTAGCAGTATGCTGTATTGCTGTCGTCTGCAGAGCTGGTTCTAGACGTCAACGAGTAATTATGATGGGCCATCGCCTTGCTAATGTCATCAGAGCACGCCCAACCTTGCTTTATCAAGCAAGACAGATGAAGACTGGAAGTGGAAGATGTGTGGTCGACGAGAAATGTACACCAGATTCCTAATTATGCAAGGTCCTTCTCTGGTTCTCGACGAAGCCACGTCTGCTGAAGGAACAAGAAGAATAACAAGGCGATCACAGAGGAACAGCACGATCCCTGTAGAGGGTGCATAACCCGCCAATAAAGGGACACTTTGCTCGTCTTTCGGCCAAAGGTTAAGTGTTTGATGGGAAAACGAAGAAAGTCAAGGCCTAGTATGCTGTGATAAGGACACCTATGAGCGGATGGGAACCCAGGAGCTGTAGCCAGGACCTACTCATCTGTCGCCACGCCAACACCGCCTCAAAGTCCCAACACTTGCGACAAGAAAAGATCAAGATAGAAAATGTAACTGGAAGAAGATGTAAACTTTGAAGATTGTTCAGTCCTGGGGACTGTTGCTGGACGGCCACTGCTGAGTGGACAGTCGGGATTATTTAATACTGTTATTTAAAAGCAGGACTTTATGCATAAAGCCTGGATTATTATGTATAACTGTACTTAGTTCGGTTAGATTTTTTTTAAGGCAAATAATTTTTCAATCTGGAGGACCAGTCTGGGATAAGACAAAATCATGCTTAACTAACGTACACATGGTTTTGGTCTTAACTCCGGGGAAAAAGGGATGTAACAGTTGTTGAGGTGACTTGAGTAGATACTTGGGATTATACCTGACTTATGAGACATTCACAGGGAGGTGAGAAGGTAAAACAAACCTCACCTCCAGTAGTTTCAAAGGTTGGAAGGTTGTCCCTTGTTACCAGATTCAAATCCGTCCATTCAGCGGAAAATTTGGGATAGATGGGTATAAAAGCACGTTACAAGAGAGGGAGAGGAGCGTTTGTGTTCTGTCTCAGTCCAGACAGGAGTCTGGTGTGTAGTGTTGGACATCACAGGGGGAAGGGAGACTGACGATCTGGTGTCTACAAGGATGCTTCATCACGGCTGTATCTTTAGTGAGTACAGGTCCCTTATGTTTTGCATCACACATCACAGGTGTTGATATAATATTGCCTTGATAGGGAAGATAGATTAGGATATTTATATTGAACGTAATTAAATAAATATATATATTACTAAACTGTCTTTCCGGTGTGTCCATTTGTACCTGTTATTCATTCATAGAGAGTTACCAGTGAAAAATGGAAGTTGTCCCGTGATTATGTATACTTACTATGTAGATGCCACCCCTGTGACAGGTAAAAACATGCGTTTTTGAAAAACAACGCCATCTGTTGCACTTCAGACCAACACACACTATACTAAATATGTTACGATTCCATTGATAAATTTCATTTTCATAGATTTCGATTTATTTTCATTTTGATTTCATTAATTTGCGTGACATTACATTTGAATTGAGCTGTGTTGTTTACCATATGTTCATTTCGTGAGTATAGTATATTTTTTTTATTTTATCATTGTTCTTCATTTCGTTTTTTGAAAAATTTTTCTTATATTTTTAGTGATACGAACATATGGGGCCAGATTCACGAAGCAGTTACGCAAGTATTTACGAACGTGTACCACTTTCCTCAATCTTTGCTGGCTTTGGTTACATTTATTAAACATTTTACAAACATGAAAACTTGGCAATCCACTATTGCTATTGTTATAAACAGCCTCCTGGTGCTTCGGAGCTCATTAACTGTTTAATAATTGTAAACAAAGCCGCAAAAGACTGAGAAAAGATGTGCAGATTCGTATGAGTTTGCGTAATTTCTTCGAGAATCTAGCCCCAGATCACCAACACAATAACAAACATTCCAGAGAACTACACAAGAGAACCGTCACATTAAGAACCAAACCAGAGAACCATCGCAATATCAACCACACAAGAGAACCATCACAATAACAATCAAACAAGAGAACCATCACAATAACAAACATACAAGAGAACCATCACAATAACAACAATACAGGAGAACTATCACAATAAGAACAATACAGGAGAACCATCACAATAACAAGCATACAAGATAACCACCACTATAGCAACAATACAAGAGAACCATCACAATAACAAACATACAAGACAGAAGAGTTAGGGGGGACATGATCACCACATTCAAGATTCTCAAGGGAATTGATAGGGTTGATAAAGACAAGCAATTTAACACAAGGGGCACACGCACTAGGGGACACAGGTGGAAACTGAGCGCCCAGTGAGAATGAGCCACGATGAGCCACGGAGATATTAGAAAGAACTTTTTTAATGTCAGAGTGGTTGACATATGGAATGCATTAGGAGATGGTGTGGTGGAGGCTGACTCCATACACAGTTTCAAGTGTAGATATGATAGAGCCCAATAGGCTCAGGAATCTATACACCTGTTGATTGACGGTTAAGAGGCGGGACCAAAGAGCCAGAGCTCAACCCCCGCAAACACAACTAGGTGAGTACAAGAGAACCATCACAATAAAAATCATACAAGAGAACCATCACAATAACAACCATACAGGAGAACCATCACAAAAACAAAAATGCAAGAGAACCA